GACATCTGGGGTCCACTACGGTTTTGGGGAGCCTCCCGTGGATCCGCCCCGTCCGGCTAACACACCCCCACCCCACCGGCCGAAGTTGCTCACCAGTATTCCACCACGATGCGGACCCCACTGCCCGGTTCGACCTCCCCGGGAGGGGGCGCTACGGACGTCGGCCCCAGCTCCCCGCTCATCGCTGCCGGCTTCGGTCCGGTCTCTGCTTCCGGGTGTGACGCGACGCCGCGGTCACGTGACGGGGCGGGGCCGCTGGGGCGGAGTGGCGCCGCCAGTTATGTTCGGGCGCCCCCTGCAGGTCGCTCTGGGTGCAGCGTTTTGGCCGTGACCCCCAAATCCAGGACTGAGCTGGGTGGACAGTCCAGACCACCTCCCTAGCTTGGTACTCAGGTCACCAGGCTTGCACAGCATTTGGTGTCTACAGGAACTTAACGACCTTTTTAAATCTCATGAATATCTTCTCCTGCGAAGGGCTTTCCAGTGTACCATCGTTATATACTCAAGACTCTTAAACTCTAAACTATAGCCACAACCTGGGGCAGTGACCACTTTCCCCCTGCATTTGCCATCCTTAGGCTTTGGGGTGCCCAGGCTTCGGGCTCGTGTGCATCATATGCACTCAGTTTCTGCACCAATCTGTCTCGACCCAGTCTCTCACTACTGAGCTGGCATCTTTAGTCCCATTTTGAAGCTCTTGAAATGGAGGCTAAGTCTCTCACCTCTTCCCTCCCTGGAAGTTTCCTAACAGGTTACCCATTCTAGCATTTCTTTAAAACATTCATGTTTAAACAATTCAGCAATTTGTAGCATTGTGCAACCATCGCTACAATCCAGTTACAGAACTCTTGTGTCACCTGAAAAAGTCTCTCCTGCCTGTTTACAGTCGATCTAGTTCCCAACCCCAGCCCTAGTAGTCACTGATCTACTTTCTACCTGTATAAATTTGCCGTTTCTGGACATTTCATGCAAATGGAATTGTACAATATGTGGTCTTTTGCTTCTGGCTTCATTCAGTATAAAGTTTTTGAGGTTCACCATGTAATAGCATGTACCAGAAATTTTTATTTATTTGTTTACTGTTGAATAGTATACCTTTTATGATATACTTCTTTTTGTTTATCTGTTCAATACCAGATGATGGACATTTGAGTTTCCAGTTTTAGGCTATTTTGAATAATGCTACTATGAATGTTCAGGTGAGTGTCTTTATGTATGGACAAAGGTTTCCATTTATCTTGGGTAGATTCCCAGGAGTAGAATTGCTGGCTTGTGTGGTAAGTTGATGTTTAACTTATTAAGAAATTGCCAACTTATTTTTCAAAGTGGCAGTACCATTTTACATTCCCATCAGCAGTACATGGGAACTTGTTTCTCCATAACCTTGTCAACACCTGTTGTCTACCTTTGATTCCAGCCATCCTGGGGGTGTGTGAGGTGGCATATACTATTGTGGTTTTAACTTGTGTTTCTCTAATGTCAAATGATGTTGAGCATCTCTTCATGTGCTTATAAGTTATTCATATATCTAATATGGAAAAACATTTACTCTAATCTTTTGCCCAGTGTTTATTTGGTGGTTTGTCTCTTTATTATTGATTTTAAGAGTTCCTTATATATTCTGGATACAAAGTCCTTAATCAGATATATGATTTGCAAGTATATCCTCCCATTCTTTGAGAATATTTAAACATGCTCTCTTTTATTTTATTATTTTTTAAAATTTTATTTTTATAGGGCCTCCCTGGTGGCGCAGCAGTTGAGCGCTGGGTTGCGAAGCTGCCCGCGGCCTCTGCGGCACTGGTTCGATCCCCGGCTGCTCGCGGGACCCTCCTGCTCCCGGGCCACCAGAGGAGAGTCCCGCACGGCGCGCAGACCTCTCCTGCCGCCCGCTGCTCCCCTCAGCAGTGTACTTCGGTCCTTCTGCCTGCTCTGCTCCCCGCTCTGGCTCTGGTGAATTCTCTCACCCTCTCACGCTTCTGACTGTACCCAGTGCATGTATAAACAAAACAAACAAACAAACAAACAAATAAATAAAACATGCCTCTATTAAAAAAAAATTATCTATTTAAAAAATTTTTTTATTTTTATATTCCCCATACAATTACAACCCCCTTATTTTGACCCCAAGCCCTCCTTTCCCCGCCCCCCACCCCCCCCATAGAGTGTCTCTGGTTCATAGTTGTTTGTTGATTTTGATATTTTCTGTCTTATAGTTATTCTTTTTCCTGGTCCCTTATTTAAGTTTTCTGGATTCCTGCTATGAGTGAGACCATCCGGTATTTTTCTTTTTCTTTCTGGCTTATTTCGCTGAGCATAAACATGCTCTCTTAATAGTATTTTCCAAGTGAAAAAATTTTTAATTTTGATGAAGTCTAACTTTCCATTTTTTCTTTCGTCACTGTGTTTTTGCTTGTAGCTAAGACCTCTGTTTAGGGCCTCCCCGGTGGCGCAGCGGTTGAGCGCTGGGTTGCGAAGCTGCCTGCAGCCTCTGCAGCCGGTTCAATCCCCGGCTGCTCCCCGGCCACCAGAGGAGGGTCCCACATGGTGCGCAGACCTCTCCTGCCGCCCGCTGCTCCCCTCAGCAGTGTCCTTCGGTCCTTCTGCCTGCTCTGCTCCCCGCTCTGGCTCTGGTGAATTCTCTCACCCTCCCGCGCTTCTGACTGTACCCAGTGCATGTATAAACCAAACAAACAAACAAATAATAAATAAATAAATAAGACATGCCTCTAGAAAATTAAAAAAAAAAAAAAAAAAAAAAAAAGACCTCTGTTTAACCCAAAGTCTCAAAGATTTTCTTCTACAGCTTCTTCTATAAGTTTTATAGTTTTAACTCTTATATGTAGGTCTAACATTTATCTTTAATTATTTTTTTTTTTTTTTTAGAGGCATGTTTATTTATTTATTTGTTTGTTTGTTTTGTTTATACAAGCACTGGGTACAGTCAGAAGCGCGGGAGGGTGAGAGAATTCACCAGAGCCAGAGCGGGGAGCAGAGCAGGCAGAAGGACCGAAGTACACTGCTGAGGGGAGCAGCGGGCGGCAGGAGAGGTCCGCGCGCCATGTGGGACCCTCCTTCGGTGGCCGGGGAGCAGCCGGGAATCGAACCGGCGCCGCAGAGGCCGCGGGCAGCTTCGCAACCCAGCGCTCAACCGCTGCGCCACCGGGGAGGCCCTCTTTAATTATTTTTTTTTGTATAATGTGTGAGGTAAGGAACTAAATTCATCTTTTGGCACATGAATATTTAACTGTCCTGGCACCATTTGTCAGAATAACTCTCCTTTCTCCCACTGAATTGTATTTGCAACTTTGTCAGAAGTCAATGGACCAGAAAGTTAAAGGTTTGTGTTTGGACCCTTGATTCTGTTCCATTGATCTATAAATCTATTGTTTGTTGTTGTTTCCATTTTTATTTTAAAAACTCAGATACAATTTATATACAGTAAATGCACTTATGTGAATGTACCTTTTTGTGAGTCCTGACACACAGACCCTCTGAGTCTGGCTTCTTGCCCCAGTTCACCTTTCAACATTCAGATTGGTATTTCCAAAATATAAATCTTTCCACCGCCCTGTCCCTCCACTTAAGCCCAGAGGGACCCTTCAGGGTCTGGCCTCTGCCCATAAATCCTGCCAGTCTGGACAGACAGGATGGATGGCTCTTAAACCCGGTTTACAGAACAACCACCTGAGGGCTTGTCAATACCACACATTCCTGGGTCTCTGCTCCAGAGACTGACCTTCAGTTGGGTGGGGAGGGGCGCAGGAATTTATTTTACGCAAGCTTAAGGAGAGCTGGAGGCGAGTGGTCACTGGGGTTGGTCACACTTTGAGAAAAAATTGAGTCCAAAAGCACTTGCCTTTCCTCACATCTTCCATGCCTCTTGTCCTTCCTTCTCCTCCACCCCCACTCTGCCTCTGCTTACTCTCCAGCCAAAGGCTTCACACTTTTCCCTTCATCATTTGAGGTGTGCCCCCCTCTCCCATCCACCAATCCCAACCTCCTCCCTGCTCCAGACAACTTCCATTTGCTCAATTGTCACTTCCATGGAGAAATCTTCCCTAATTCCTTGGGTGAGTCATTCTCCAAGCATAGTTGTCATCTGTCATTTCTTATTATTTGATTAATATCAGTCTCCCTAACAGGGCTGGATGAGGACAAGGGTGGGGTTTGTTTTTGTTGCTCACAACTGTATCCTCCGTACCAAGCATGGGGTTGGCACACAGTAAGCTCTTAACAAGTATCAGTTGAATGATAATTGAAAGAAGAAACGAGTGAATTGTCCGTGCTGCTTTTACTCGAACTGCTCTGTGGCCCAGGCGACCTTGCCCCTCCCCCACTTCTTTGTTTGGTCCACTTATACTGGTTTTTCAAGGAACACCCCGTTTGGAGAAAGCTGGGGCTGGAATCACTCCTTAATGCTCCCCAGGCCAGACTTCTTATCACTCTATGGGTTGTTTACTTATCTGTCACTCACTTCGGACTGGGTGGTGGCCACTACCTTTGATTGGAGCTCGGTGGCCCTCTCCCTGGTCTGCCCTTGTGTTTCCTAGTGCAGAAGTGATGTCTCTAAAGGGAGTCCCCTGGCACCCCGGCCAGAGCTTCCTCCCAGATCACTGTTTTCCTCTCCCAGGAGACCCTAATGAGACCCTGGACTTTGCTCAAAAGGGAGGGCAGATCCTGGGTGCCTCTGAGGGCCCAGGGTGCAAACTGGGTGGCCAGACTGTGACTGGAGGTCAAGGGGCAGGTCATGTTGCTGGACACCCCACTGGCAGGCGTCTCTTTCTCCGAGTGCTCTTTGCCCCAGGGTGGGACCCAGAGTGGCAGACGGGCCCCCTAGCTTGGCCAATGAACAGACCAGGTTTGGAGAGACGCGTGAGGGAGAGTGGGCGGGGCCATCCCCTCACCTTCCAGCCCCAGCCCCGCCCTCCCAGGTCACGTGGACTCTGTTTCGAGGCTTTCCAGGCGGTTCAGTTCGACGGTCTTCCCCGCCTCTCCCGTAGCACCTGCTTCCAGGATAAGAAGGGCAAAAACAACCCCAGCCGGCGTAATGCAGGGAGTCCCCGCCCCTCCTCCTGTGCTTCCTCCTCCCAAGCCCCGCCCCCACCTGCCCAAGATAATTTTAGTTTCCCTGGGCCTGGAGCCGGGATACACGGGGCTCAGTCTCCTTCCCCCCCTAGACCTCTACGTCCAAAGTCGGGACACTCTCCTACCACCTGTAGAGAAGCAGGAGTGGATCTGAAATCAAGTCCGGGTATCTGGGGGACCTTAGAGAGAGCCCGACTTCGGGCCCTGTGTCCTGCTGTTCCCGCTGGGGCTTCTCCAGGTAAGGGAACCGGGATCGGTCCCAGACGACAACCTGCTCCCGCCCCCAGCCGCACCGGGGCGCGAGGCTGTGCCGGTCTCTGGGCCAGGAGCTGGCTGGGTGCCCAGGTGGGCGGACAGGCGGCCTCCAGGCTCTCCCCTCCTCTCCCCCCCTCAGTGATGTCAGGTCAGGGGCGGAGGCAGGAGGGGGACAGGTAGTTAAGGGTTGGCGTCCCTCCCTAAACCGGTGGCCCCAGCCAGGTGTCCGGACGCCCAGGGTCCAGGTAAGGACCAAAGCGGGCAGCTCCTCACGAGGGTGGGGAGCACCGGCAGGTCGCGTCTGTGCGGAAGGTCCGACGCCCTGCGCTGTTGCTCCGGCGGTCGCTTATTTTATCTCCCCCGAGTGTCCCATCCCGCCCCCCCTCGCCATCTGCCGGGCCTGCGTCTTCCCCTGTTCTCAGCTCTTGCTCTGCCTCCTTCCTTCCCTCTTTGTGCCCCCACCTCAGCCCCCCGGCGCTGCCAGCTGACGGGAGCGGGGCCGTCGGCCTCCAGGTGCTCTCCTCGCGGACGCCCCTTCCCGCGGCCGGAGCCGCTCCCCGCTTTCCCAGATGGAGAGCCCGGAGGGGTCCGAGCACCGAGGAAGCTGCTGCCGGCCGCTCCTTTGTTCAATCTGATTTTACCCCAGTTTGAGTACTGGGGCTCAGTGGGACGCCCTCAAATTGGGAGGGCAGTAAAAAAGAGGGGTTTTCTTAGCTGCTCGAGTGCCCCTGTCCAGATTGCACCCCTGCCCAAGGCCCGGCCCTCGGATGGCACGTGGGGGGCGGGGGCAGGCCCGGGGTCCCTCCTCGCTTCTGAATGAAGTGGGGTGAGAAGGCTGCAGGGCTGACTGTTGGGGGTGTCTGCGATGCAGCAGGGCATGGGGGGGGAGTGTGTGTGTGTGTGTGTGTGTGTGTGTGTGTGTGTGGGGAGCAGATGGGATGAGCAGGGGAAAGCCGGGTCTGGGTCTCCCGCGCACGTTGGGGATGGAGAATGCACCTGTCGCGGGGTGGGGGTGGGGAAGTCCTCCCAGCCCCGCTGTGCCTCAGGTGTGCCCCCTCTTGGTCTGCCTGGCCTGGACTCTGCTCTCCCCTCTTCCCTTGATAGCCTGCTGGGGGGCCCTCCATGAAGCAAGCGGCCTGTAATGATTAACTCCGCAGACACTCCAGCATTCTTCCCAAATTAAACTTTAAAAGAACTGGCCCCCTCCTCCCATTGGGCATTCTTGCCTGCGTGAGGGAGTGGGCGGGGCCTCCCGCTCCTCGGCCCTCCCCTGCCTCCGGCTCACCTAGGGGTTTCCCGCCTCCTCACCTGGACCCTCTCCCCCCTAAGCGCGCCCCACAAAGGTTAAGCCTTTCCCCAACCCGTCCCCAGCGCACACTTTAAACCCTGACGGGGCGGGGCACGGAGTGGTGGGCCCGATGGGGGCCTCCCGCCACCCCCAGGCCTCGGCCCCGCCGGCCCCTCCCCCCACCCTGGGAAGCACCGAAGTGGCCTTGTTTTCTATCTGCCCTAAACGCGGCCCAGCCACCCTCCCTCGGGGCCAGCCAGGTGGGGCAAGATCCAGGAAGTAAACAAGGAGGCCGGGAGGGCGGGAGGAGGGTGGGGCTGGAGCCGCCGGGGCGGGAGAGGCTTTGGGGGAGCCGGCAACTGGGGGGTTGCAGTATTGAGGGGACAATTTGATGGGGGGTGGGGGGGTGGCTTTCTTCAACAGAAGCTTTCCTAGGGCCCGAGTTTGAAAAGCTTCAGGTCTCTCGGGAGGAGGCTGCCTGCGCCAGCTGGGCGCCCAGTCCCCTCCTCCTCACCTGCCCTCCTCCTCTCCTGCCCTGGAAGGGTCTCAGGCGCTGGGTGGGCCCTGCCTGACTTGGCCCTCATCTGACTTCCATCTACTAGACCCTGCCCTCTGGGTCCCAGGTCACTCCACTGTCAGGGTCTGGCTTCCTGGAGGGGGTAGCCCCAGCAGCCTCTAGTCCTGGGGGGGGGGGGGGCGGGTCACCAGGACCCTTGGCCAGAGGTTAGGCAGGGCAGGTTGTGGGGGGTGGGGGGGGCGCTGTGTTTTGGTGCAGATGTTCCAAAGTCAGTGTTTCTCCTTCCTGGCAACACCCTAAGCCCCCTCCCTGAAGGTCTCCCCTGGGCCTTTCTCTGTCTGCCTGCCTGTCCTCTTGGGAGTTTTGACTTTTTGATTCTGCTCCTATGGTGCACTTCTGACCAGGACACCCAGAAGGGTGTGTTAGGAGGAACTTCATCCCCAAGGGGACATGCTTGAGACCCCGGGGCCTGGTGAGTTCTAGGTGATAGGGGTGGGCAGCAGTAGCAGAATGAAAGCCTGGTAGGCTCCAGGCAGCATAGGGAGCATTGCTTGTTTCTTCACGTCAGCCCAGGGCAACTACTGGGAGGTCAGCTCCACTCCGAAGGGGCCTCTAGATCCAGGCCAGGCCTTTCCTCTCTCCTTTACTGTGAGGGGTCGGGCAGGGTGGTGGCTGTGGGACTGGAGGCAGATTGCAGGTCCCACTTGGACTGGGAGAGACTGAGGTAGGCCAAGGGTGGGGAGGAAGAGATGATGTCAGAGGAGCCTCAGGCCCCGCATCCTCCTTTTTCTCCCCCATCCTGTTCCCTGCGCTGTGCCTCCCCCATTCCTCCCAGGCCTGTAGGTTGGGGGCGAGAGTGGAGGGGGGTTGGGTAGAAGCAAGGTTGTTTGTGTTTCTCTTAAGCCAGGAAGTTGTGCAGATGAGTCAAGGTTGAATGGAGAGCCCCAGGCTGTGTGCTATCCTGCCCCGCCCTGACTCACCTGTCCCCCAAATCCCCTCATGCCCTCACTTATGGGTCAGGGTCTCTTCGTGGAGGATCAATCCCAGGTGGCCTAGAGAGTCTAAGGGCACCAACCTGGAGCAGGGAGAGTGGGCAGGGGGCTGGAACAGGCTTGTACTCCCAGGTCCAGACCAACCAAAAGGGTTTTGGTTCCTATGGAGGGGGGGGCCCAAGCTGCCTTTACCACCCAGTGGGCATCTTCACCCCCTCTTGCCTATCCTTACTGTCTTAGGTGCTCAGGTGGTTGGCACCTGTGGATGATAAAACATGGGTAAGACCCTAACCTGCCTGGGAGTGCCAAGCGTCTTTAGGCCAGTGGGTGGATAGGACAGGTGCACAGTAATTGATGCAGAGGCCCCAGTGTAGTGCAGGGAAGGAACCCTTCAGTCTGGGATGGAAAATCCAGGAAGGCTTCTCATAGGAGGTAACTCTGGCTTCCAGAAAGTTGGGCAGGAGGTGGGGCCTGGGGAGGACACACAAAGTTTGGAGGCTTCTGGGGCAAAGGCCCCCAGGCTAGGCCTCTTCCTCCTACAGCCACTGAGCCTGCCTCCTGCCCTCCTGGTTCCTGTCCTTCTCCACCTCCTTCTCCCCATCACTCAGCACTTGGGCAGGCGTTGCCACAACAGGCTCTGGCAACCAGGTCTTGCAACAAAGCACTGGAAAAACCTGGGGCAGAGCCCAGAGGAGTGTGGAGACAGAGCAGTGGCCCTTTGCCCTGACACAGAGCCTGAGCCCCAGACAGACTGGGGGTTATGGAGTCTATTGCTGCTGCCTGTGGTTGGGGTGAAGATGCTGCCTTCTCAAGGACTCAGCTTCCCTTTTGTAAAGTGGGCTCACTGTATCCTCCCCCAGGGGCTCTAGGAATCTCCTCTTAGAGGGGGACAATGAGTGCCATTCAACTTTGAGGGGTACCTTGATAGCTGTGAAGGTAGGAGATCTGGGTCATCTTGGCTTCTGCCCCACGACAGGGGCACAGAGCAGCCACATTCAGTACCCCCTTCTCCCTCAGATGTCATGGAGCTGGGCCTGTCTCCACCTCATCTCAGCAGCTCCCCAGAAGACCTGTACCTGGCCCCCGGATCCCCTCCTGGGACTCCCCCATCTCCCGATGCCCCGCTGCCTGGGGAGGTTAAGAGATCTCAGCCTCTGCCAATTCCAGCCAGCAGGTACAGTGGGTGATGTGGCAGCGGGGGCTGTGGGGGTCAGCAGGGTAATACACAAGAAGCTTGCAGCCTACTCCTTCCTCTCTGACCACAGGAAACTTCGAGAGGAGGAGCTTCGGGCATCCTCTCTACCTTCCATCCCCAACCCCTTCCCAGAGCTCTGCAGTCCTCCTTCACAGACCCCGATTCTCGGGGGGTCCTCCGGTGCAAGGGGTCTTCACCCCCGCGATGCCAGCCGCCCCCATGTAAGTCACCCTGGAAAAGAGAAGGCAATGATGTGGGGGTGCTCGAGGACTGGGGTGTGTTTCTGTGGAGGTGGTGGGGGGCTTGGTCAGGCATCCTTGAGGGTGTACGGCAGAAGAAGAGAAAGAACCACCTGTGACATCTGTATTTGCTGGGGTGCAGGTGATAAAGGTGTACAGTGAAGATGGGGCCTGCCGGTCGGTGGAGGTGGCGGCGGGCGCCACGGCTCGCTACGTGTGTGAAATGCTGGTGCAGCGAGCTCACGCCCTGAGTGATGAGAACTGGGGGCTGGTGGAGTGTCACCCCCATCTAGCCTTAGGTGAGTTGGGGTGCAGAGAGCAGCTCAGGCCAGGAGGCAATTCTTTCCCTCTTAATTAGACAGGTGGCTCAGCTGGAGGCCTGACTGGTCTCCAGTGACTCCTGCTTTTTGTCCTTGACCCCAGAGCGGGGCTTGGAGGACCATGAGTCCGTGGTGGAAGTGCAGGCTGCCTGGCCCATTGGTGGAGACAGCCGCTTCGTCTTCCGGAAAAACTTCGCCAAATACGAACTTTTCAAGAGCTCCCCAGTGAGTATGTGTGGTGGGGGTGCAGGGAGTCTGGGCCCTGGGACACCCTGATTCTCAGCTTGCACCCTCAGTCCCTGACTTCTGGCTCCTTCCTTTGTCAGCACTCCCTGTTCCCAGAAAAGATGATCTCCAGCTGTCTTGATGCACACACAGACATATCCCATGAAGACTTTATCCAGGTGAGGGGACCCCCTGCAGTTCAGGCATATTGAGGGTTTCCAGGATCACACGTTGCTTCTTGGCCTCGCGCCTTCTGCGGTGGCAGAAGGAGCCCAGTGCAGCGCTGTCACTGCAGACCTGTCGGTTTCCTGCCTGAGTGTCAGTTTCTTTACCTGTTAAGTGGGGACAATAAGTACATGTGGAATCTCTTGTGACAAAGGCGAAGGTGTTTGCATGAATGTGTATACACACCTACGTATACATGCATATGTACATGTGTGCATATGTCTCTGTGTCTGTGTATCTGTCCCTCCATGCCTCTTACCCTTTCTCTGATCTTCTCTTGCCTCAGAACTTCCTGAATGCTGGCAGCTTCCCGGAGATCCAGGGCTTCCTGCAGCTGCGGGGGTCGGGACGCAAGCTTTGGAAACGCTTCTTCTGTTTCCTGCGCCGGTCTGGCCTCTACTACTCCACCAAGGGCACCTCCAAGGTGAGGTCCTGAGGGCGACAGCCCCAGTCCCTGAGATACCCCATATCCAGTCCTTCTAAGAGTTGCCCCTTTGCTGTTGGAACTTCTGGACCTTCCCCTGTGCCCTGAGCCCCCCATCTCCTCTTTCCCGCCCAGATGACCTGCCCCAGGAGTTAGCAGTGGGAAAGCAAGTGAACTGAGTACAAGTCCTAGCTGCTTTTATTTGCTGTGTGGCCTGAGGCTCTTCTTTGTTCCTCTGGGCCTGAAGTCTCTCCAGTTGCTATAGAAAGGGGAATATTAGAGGGATAGGGTCAGTCTGGACCAACGCCCACTCTTGCTCAGGATCCAAGGCACCTACAGTACGTGGCAGATGTGAATGAGTCCAATGTGTACATGGTGACCCAGGGCCGCAAGCTCTACGGGATGCCCACAGAGTTTGGGTTCTGTATAAAGGTAAATGTTTTGACATGGCCTGGAGGGTGTGGGAGGTACTCAGGCCCCAGGATCCCACCTGGGGCTTCTGGGCTCCACCTCGGACACCCAGACTCCATGCACCCTGCCCTGCCTTGTGGAGGTGGGAGGCAGATACCTGGTTCTTGAGGCAGATCTGGGAGCAGCACGTTCCTCTTCCTCTAGCCCAACAAGCTTCGAAATGGCCACAAGGGGCTTCGCATCTTCTGCAGTGAGGATGAACAGAGCCGCACCTGCTGGTTAGCTGCCTTCCGCCTCTTCAAGGTGAGGCCCCAGGACTGGCGTGGGACCCATGATATGAGGGGGACGTTATAGTTGTAGAAATGTGTGTGTGTGTGGGTGGGGGTGTTACTCCAGTTTTGCTCTCTCAGAACCCCTGGCCTAAGGCTGACACCTCAAGAAGCTCATTTTCCAAGGGAGTCACTGCTTTGCTCATGGGGAGGCCTGGTCTGAGGGGGTGTCGCACCCAGCCCCTAGACCCACTTGACCTCAGGTCTCTCTCTCTCATTCCCCCCACTCCAGTATGGGGTGCAGCTGTATAAGAACTATCAGCAGGCACAGTCTCGCCACCTGCGCCCATCTTGTGTGGGGTCTCCGCCCTTGGTAAGTGTATGTGGGGGTGGTAGGTGGGGGTGGGCCCCCAGGCCATACTTGGGCCTTTTCTGACCACACCACACCCCCTTTCTTACCCACAGAGGAGTGTCTCAGATAACACCCTGGTGGCCATGGACTTCTCCGGCCATGCTGGGCGTGTCATCGAGAACCCCCGGGAAGCTCTGAGTGCAGCCCTGGAGGAGGCCCAGGCCTGGAGGGTGAGGGGCCTGCGCCCATCTGCATGTTTGTATTGGGGATCTTCTCTCCATATGGCTTCCCTGGAGTGGGAGGGAGAAAGAGAGGGGTGAGGGAGGTCCCCAGCTCTTCATTCTCGAGGGGCCAGGTCACACCCCAGCCACACCCTGACCATCCTGACCCTACTGTTCTGCAGAAAAAGACCAACCACCGACTCAGCCTGCCCACGCCATGCTCAGGCACGAGCCTCAGCGCAGGTGGGTGAGGACCCAGCCTTCCTGGGCGCAGGGGCTCTTGGGGCATCTCTGAGTGTTCCAGGTGGGGGAGGTCAATATGGCGGTCCCCTCCCCGGAGTGACTGTCCATCTGTCTCCCCCCACCCTAGCCATCCACCGCACCCAACCTTGGTTCCATGGACGTATTTCCCGAGAGGAAAGCCAGCGGCTCATCGGGCAGCAGGGCCTGGTAGACGGGTAAGGGCCAGGCTGGGCAGGGAAGCAGACCCAGGGGCAAGCGAGACGCCGGACTACGTGCAGCTGTGTGTCCTTGGGTGATGTTGCCCTGTCTGTTGGCAGCTTGTTCCTGGTCCGAGAGAGCCAGCGGAACCCACAGGGCTTTGTCCTCTCTTTGTGCCACCTGCAGAAAGTTAAACATTATCTTATCCTGCCGGTGAGTAAGCTCCTCCCGCCCTGAGCCCCGGGTTCCCGCAGTGGGGACACAGGACCCCCAGATCCCTGGTCCTAGCGGGTCTGGGGTCTTCTCTCCCCTTTTTCCCGGCACAAGTAATGAGGGCCTTAGCCCTGGGCCGGGAGGCAGCTCCTGAAGCCTGGTGCCCCGCCCTGACTTCCACCCCCTCTGGTCATGCCCCAGAGCGAGGAGGAAGGCCGCCTCTACTTCAGCATGGACGAAGGCCAGACTCGTTTCACCGACCTGTTGCAACTCGTGGAGTTCCACCAGCTGAACCGTGGCATCCTGCCGTGCGTGCTGCGCCACTGCTGCACCCGAGTGGCCCTTTGACCCCATGGCTGCAGGCTCAGGCTTCAGGCTGTCCACTGCCCACTCTGCTCACGGAGTGGACTCATGGGTACAGAAGATGGGAACAGGGTCTTGAATAATTGGAGGGCTCCCTTACTCCAGTCTTCTCCTCTGTTCTTGGCCTCCCTCAGGCAGAATGTGTCTCCATGCCTCTCCTCAAGGGAGGGCACTCGGGGTGGCCTTCTCCCTTTCAAGGAGCTCCTGGGCACCGCTCTGGGGCAGGGCATTATGGGAGAAATGGGGGAAGCCCATGTGGGCTTATGCCCGCACTTTGTATAGATTGAGAGGCCAGTTGATGTGCTGTTTTATACTAATGACAATAAAGATTATTTTTTGATACAGCTGTGTGTCCTGTGTGGCAAGCTGTGGCTAGCTGGAGCAGGAAGGGCACAGGGGAGGTGCCTGATGGACTGCGGCCACACTCTGGCAGCCCGGATGTTTCTTGAAAGAAGAGGTAGTCTGGGTCATCTGTGAGTCTCCAGTGCCCAGAATGCGCCCTAGACCATAGTGGGTGCCCATAATTGCTTGTTAAATGAATGAGAGGACGAGGGACTGTCACCCCATCATCCAGGTGACAAGACCTAAAGCTATGGAGGTATGACGCTAACAAGGTCTGGAGCTGAGTCAGACAGACTCCTTGTCTGCAAGGCCCGGCTGGCTGGTGGGATAATGAGTTCCTGACAGACATGGGGGATGTGGCCACTGCCATGACCAAGATACAAGGCCCATTACTTCCCACAAGTCCCTGTGCCCCACAGGTCACCCTCTCCCTGTGCCCCAACTCCAGATTTGTTTTGTGTCCTCAGGGGCCCTCCCTCCAGAAAGCCAGATCAACAGAATCCTACAGCTTCACCCCTCGGAGTCTGGCTCTCCCTTCCACCTACCTTTCAGCATCCAGAGTGGTCTTTCCAAATTAGGAATCTGTCCACTCCCTTGTGTCTCCACTTAAGCCCAGGCAGGCCCTACAGCATCTGGTCTCTGCCTACTGCCCATACCAGACTGTTTTTGTCTAAAAAGGTTTTTGTTTTTTTTTTACATTTTATTTTATTTTATTTATTTATTTATTTGTACAAGCACTGGGTACAGTCAGAAGCCTGGAGGGTGAGAGAATTCACCAGAGCCAGAGCGGGGAGCAGAGCAGGCAGACTGATGAAATACACTGCTGAGGGGAGCAGCGGGCGTGGCAGGAGAGGTCTGCGCACCATGTGGGACCCTCCTCCAGTGGCCGGGGAGCAGCCGGGGATCGAACCGGCGCCTCAGAGGCCGCAGGCAGCTTCGCAACCCAGTGCTCAACCGCTGTGCCACCGGGGAGGCCCTAAAAAGGTTTTTTTAAAGGGCCTCCCCTGGTGGCACTGCGGTTGAGTGCTGGGCTGTGAAGCTGCCCGCAGCCTCTGCAGCACAGGTTAGATCCCTGGCCAATGGCGAGGGTCCCACATGGGGCGCAGACCTCCCCTGCCGCGCCTGCTGTTCCCCTCAGCAGTGTGTTTCGTCAGTCTGCCTGTTCTGTTCCCTGCTCTGGCTCTGGTGAATCCTCTCACCCTCCTGCGCTTCTGACTATACACTGCTGAGGGATGCAGCTGAGGGAGCAGCGGGAGGCAGGACAGGTCTGCGCGCCATGTGGGCCCCTCCTCCAGTAGCCGGGGAGCATCCGGGGATCGAACCAACCGGCGCCGCAGAGGCAGGCAGCTTCGCAACCCAGCGCTCAACCACTGCGCCACCGGGGAGGCCCAGTATTGCTTTTAAATAACTCTGAGGTTAAGGCAGAGGCTGAGGGCATAGTCACGGCTGGCCGTCAGTTGAAGCTGGTGATGGATATAGGGATTCATTAAATTATTTTCTACTTTTGTATATGCTTGAAATTTCTATAACTTTTTTAAAATGGAAAACCTCTCCCAAATCTTTGAGATTGGGCCTAAGGTTAAAGGACCCCATTTTGTGGGTGAGGAGGTTGGTGGCTCAGGGAGCAGAACTGCCACATGTTATAATTGGGGCACCCGGGCTTGCACCCTAACAGAGGACCTGGTTGGCCATTCTGCCCTTGCCCGGCTGACTCCCAGGTAAGCTGCAGTGGGAGCCGCTGTGGCTGTAGGGTGGTCCTGGCCGGGAAGGGCCCTCCGTTCTTTCCAGCCTAGTCTCTGCAGCCCTGGTCTGCTGGGCAGTTGTCCTGAGGTGACCTTGAGAAGGACCAGCCGCCATGCCAGCCCCCAGGCCAGGCTTGGCAGTGCCGGCAACCACTTGTGACCAAGGCCCTCCTAATCTCGGCTGATCTGTGGTTGGGGACCTTGGAGCCAGGCCTGTCAGACAGAGTGGGCAGAGATGCCTCATCCACTCTGGAACCTTCTGTGCATTTACCCTGAAGATTGACCCTTCCTGCAGCCCAGGTGTGAGAGGAGTGCCACCGGCTGTGGCTCCTAGAAGTGGCCCATTACCTATCTCTGGCTGCTCCCTGGCCTTGCCTGAGCTGGCTGCTGTTGGGGACAACTCCAAGCTCTGGGTGCTGGGGTTCAGGCTGCAGTGAGGGTGAAGGGGACAGAGTGAATCATGTCTTAAGCATGTCCAGGGACTTAGATTGCACAGAACCAGGACCCAGTGTCCCCTCACAGCCCGAGGCACTGGATAGAGGACAGAATCCTGTCAACCAGCGGATCAGTTTATGAGCTCTGTTCCGCTTCCATTTTACAAATTGGAAATTGAGGCGCAAAGAGTGACCCACCTGAGGTCATAGTTAGGCCTTACAGACCATCTTGTAACTGATGCTCCCCCCCTCCCCCGCCTTCTCAGTGCTGGACACTGAAGGGATCCCCCTGGGCTGCTGGGGGCCCTTAGCAGGGACTGACTCAGCTCTTAGCTGGACGTCCTTGGTGAGTGGCTGAGATCTCTGACTTTTTGGAAGAGAGGCAGCAGCTGACAGTGTAGGGGACAGGGGTCCCTTGAGGCCAACTCACAGAGGGGCAGGGGGCTCATGGAGGCCAGACAGCAGAAGGGACTGGCCAGGACGCTGCAGCGCTGTCTACTGGAAGTTTGTGGTGATGAGGGATCTGGGTGGCCGGGAGGAGGCAGGGGCCTTGTGGTGAAGGGGCTGGAGACTCAGACACTTTAAGTGACTGCATTTGATTATAAAAATCAGACACGCTGGGCCTCCCTGGTGGCGCAGCGGTTGAGCACTGGACTGCGAAGCTGCCCGCAGCCTCTGCAGTGCCAGTTCGATCCCCGGCCGCTGGCGAGGGTCCCACATGGTGCGCAGACCTCTCCTGCCACCTGCTGCTCCCCTCAGCAGTGTACTTCGTCAGTCTGCCTGTTCTGCTCCCCGCTCTGGCTCTGGTGAATTCTCTCACCCTCCTGCGCTTCTGACTGTACCCAGTGATTGTATAAATAAATATAAATAAATAAATAAATAAATAAATAAATAAATAAATAAATAAATAGACATGCTTATTAATAACATTTTTTAAAAAATCAGCAAATAACTTTAGGGAAAGAAGAAAATCCCTCATAATCTCCCCATGCCAAGGAGGACCCAGGGATTGAGAGAGCAGGTGAGTCAGGGCATACCACCCCGGGGGGCTGGCCCTGTAGGGCCCCAGAATCAGACACCAGCTCCTGGGGCTTGCATGGCTGGTGGGAGCCTGGGGCCAGGGTACATCACCATCCTTGGCAGCACCTGAGGCATGTAGGAGGGTATGGCCGGGGTTGGCCTCCTTATCTGCTAAAGTATGGAGGGCAATGAGGGCTGGTGACAACTTTCTGGGCTCTGGGAACCAGTGGATTTGATTCTAGAAGAGCCCATCTCCTGGGTGGTGCATCCCAACAAAGCCCTGGCCATTCAGGATCCCCCTCTCCCAGACATCCTGTGCAGTGAAATCTCCTAAGCCTCCAAGTTCATGGGTGGAGGGCCTCCTCGTGCAGGCCTGAGGGTTCACTGTGAGTCAGTGACCCTGCCTGGCTCCTTCCTGCCCCCAGTGCCAGGCACTGTGTGGAGGGAGGGAGGAGAGCCCAAGGCCATCTGGAAGGACCCTTTCTTCTGAACTGTCAACATAAGCAGTTTCTAACTGTTTCCTGGAGTCCAAAGGGTTCAGCAGGGCTTAGGTGGGGGTTGGGTGGGGGCAGCACTGCCATTTTACCTGGGAGTTCAGCTTCACAGCGTATTTGGAAAAGAAACTTCAAGTGCTGATACTGATCTGGTCCAGCAGACAGAAAGGGGGTCCAGAGAGGTCAGGGGCTGCACAATGGCTGGGTCCCTGGCAGTCCGCATTCCTGTCTGGTGCTGTGGTCCTGAAATCTGTCTCACTGCTTGGGAGTGAGGTGCACAGTGGTTTGCAGAGACCAGGGACTCTTCCAGCTTGTGGGAGGGGGGCGGGGCTGGGGTGGGAGAGGAGCAAGATGAGGATGTTGCAGACTAGAGTCAAGAGCCATAGGAGAGTAGGTGATCCTGGGGCTGAGGCTGGTCGCAGGAGACATGCAGGGTAGTGGGGTTTCTCTCTGGGCTGAGTAGGATTGTGCTCTACCTGACTCTAATGACGTCTGGAACTCAGTTCCACCTCAGCTGAGCTGCGATGGTGTCTGGTGCCCCTTCGCAGGGCTGCATCTACTCCAAGGGAGGGACAACTTTTTCTTTGCTCAGCACCTGGCGGGTGGAGGGGTGGCTGCTTAAGGTGGAGTTATGTTTTCAAGGTAAGCAGTTTCTTCTTACTTTATCTTGGGCGTGGCTTTGGAGAGACAGCGAGATTGGCAGGCTCAAGCCACTCCTTTGGGTTCTCCCTAGTGTCTGGGTAATGGAGTGGGCCCTGTGACCTTGGAGTTCTAGGGGAAGCTGAATGCAGGGAGCGAATGGACCGCCTGCACCCCCACAGTCCTACAGCCAATGTATATATTGTGCTCGAGCTCCAGGACATGGTAGAGTGGGCATTCCTACCCGACACACCCCAAATTTCCAAAGGATGGGGTCTTCTTTCCCCAGACTTGGCTCACTTGGTTCCCTTTTCCCAAGCTGAGCCACCCAGACCCACACGTGTGAGGGAAGGGCCGGCAGGGTGAGCAGGGCATGCTCTCCATCAGGTGAGGCTGCGGGAGGAGTGAGTCTGCACCTGAGACACCGCAGCCGCCTGGGCTCCGCGGCACGCGCGGAAGGTGAGCGCGCTCCCAGCCCCTCCCGTTTCCCCACTCACCCTTCCCCGACCGCGCGCTGCCGGTGCCCACGGACCACCAGCCCGGGGGTGCTTTGGGCCCGGGCTCCACAGCACCCCTCCCCCGCTGTGGCAGGAAGGCCCGGCCGCCTCGCCAGGGGGCGCGCTTCGGGGCGCGCTTCGAGTCCGAGCCGTCGGTGCCGGGGC